GGGTGGCATGCAACAGTATGTACCTTTGGCCACAATCATAGAATGAGTTGCTGGAATTGTCATTCTGCTTGTTCAGTGTCCTTCCCTTATATGTCCTCAAGTTAAATCTCCTCCCCCCCCCTTTATTCTGCCCTTCCTCCATGGAACTCTGGAAAGTGTACATGGCAGCCGCTTCCAAATTATCCCGTGATGTATTTTAAGCAGAGAGGCAGTGAGATTGGCCCAAGATGACATAGCTACATGAGGACCTGAAGTCCTAAGTCAGATATTCTAACCATTACCCCACACTGATGCTCAAATCTCTGGTAGACTGGAGGTAGGGTTTGTCAGGAGGCCTGTATAACCTGCTCTTTCATCTCCTACAGTGAGATTATTTTGGAATAGTGGATATTACAGGAGAATTATGTTTTTCAAGTACATAATTTAACCACAGTTACAAATAACCTCTTTGCTCTTGAATGATTCCAGGAGAGGTTGCTATAAACTAAAGAAATAGTGCATGAAGCACTATGCCACCGTTTTCCAATGTTGAAGAATATGGAATCAGTTCTCTTTGCTCTAAGAATTCATATAAATAAGTTGTCCATACATAAACCAAGGTACACCACCCTTTTATAGTTCCCATATTTCTTTCCACTAAGACCAAAAAAGCTAATCATGTTTTTTAAAGAACTTTTCAGCTAAAAAGGAATATGTTTCCAGAAATCAAGAGTGCATTGAAAGTTATTGGAGTTAAATTTGGCATATGCAGGGCGGGGATCCCTGATGAAATGTAGTGTGGGATGTAAGCATCTTAATGAATGGAAAGAGCACTTCTTCCATTATCTACCTATCACATGTTCTCTCCATTCATCCTATCAGAATATGAGTCACCTTTTATAGTTGCAAATGTTCCAAGAGGGATTATATACACAACGACTCCCAGGAATGACTCTTTTGTTATCTGTGTTCTTGATGACTTCAAAATTATATATAGTAAGATCCATTAATTCCAAAGCAATTCACCTCCCAAGTGTGTGGGATGCTGGGAGCTCCCAGTCTGTTTGGGAGGAGAAAAGAAGAGAACACAGATTGGCGTCTTCTGTAATAATTTAGAGGCTACTGGCTGTAGTTCTTTGCTCTAAATGTTAATAGACTTGAGTAATCAGAACCCACTACTGGTAAATTATTTATAATATCTTTGGAACTCAGGAAAGCAACTCATCCAGCAACTTCTATAGAAACATACTGTTGAAAGGTACTTTGGTCAAGAATTCCTGGCTGGAATTTTTACTTTTACCAAGGAAAGAGGGTGTGTGTGTGTTTGGGAGCATGTGCAGATGTAGCTGCCAATGCACATGTTTTCAGGAAGAGATGAAGTCATGACAAGATTAGCAGAAAAATTCAATTAGGGCTGACTTCACCATGGCAGCCAAACAGGTCAAGTTTGGGACGGTGACGAAGGCGTTTGTTATTATCAGAAAGCCTCTAGTGCTTGCCAAAAGTAATGTAACTTCTTGCATTGAAGCCTGGATTTGAGCCAATGAAACTTCAATCTACTTTTAACAGAAGAACTTCTTCAGAGAAGCTGTCAGCCATTTCTAACAGAGAAATCCTATACGGCAACTGTGCTAGGGGCAGAGACAGGCTGCTGCTCTGCAGGCAGCACAGACATTGTATGGAGCATCCTTTGCTAGATGGGGGCAAGTTGCAGTACTTGTCTTTACATATGTATGTTGCAATGTGCAGATACACAGTCACATGCATATATGTATTCTATGCATTTAATAAACTTTGAGTAAGAAAGAATTCCGTTTTTGAAGCATAACTGTGCTTAGAAAAAGTTGTGGGACAGAGACTCAGTGGTAGAGCTTATGCAAAAAGCCCACATTCAATTCCCACCTTTTCCAGGTACGAATGGGAGTGACTCTGTCTCAAACCACTACCAGTCAAATGTAGACAATACTGAGTGGTCTGACTCAGTGGTCTGACTCAGTATATAAAGCAGTTTCTTTACATGGGCGTACCCAGGATTTTTGTTGGGGGGCAGGACTTTTGGGGGGGAGAACCTACATGATTGGTCAGTTAGTTAAGTATCTCTATTGTTTTACTTGATGGGGGGGCAGCTGCCTCCCTGCCTCCCCTTGACTACACGCCCATGGTTTCTTATGTTCTTATATAGGTTGTGGAGCTCTTTGGGTCATAGAAAAAACACTTGTCATTCAAGAAAGTGTTTTTATGGGTCCAGAGAAGGACAGCATCGCCTACAATATTATCCCCAAGGGAAGCCGCATGTGATTCGTAACCTATCAATACTACTTGAGGGAAGCAACCTATATCACACTGGGCAATTGTAATCACCCTGCTTCATTCTGTCATTTTTTTCTTAGATGCCTTCTGATAAATTTAATTCAGAAGTAAAGAGACAATAAGTATCCCAGCTATGTTCCTTTTACAAATATTACCACTTGCCTATTTTTGGTTGTTTTATTCCTTTTGGGTATGGATATATACAGTTTTATGACTACAGAATAATAGAAGCGCTGAAAATGGCAACATAAAAACAATATTATGCTATGCCCTCATCTTGCACATTAATTTATCTTTCTTGATAATAGCAAGGTTTGAGGACATTTTATACACATCTGGCTAAAATGTTTAAATAACTGAAGATACAAACCAGGAGTAAGTATTTGCTCTTTTTCTAAGTCAAGCTGCATTTTCTCTTTCGAGTTTCATTTACATGACAAAAATCTGTCTGTTTCACTTGTATTTATAGAGAGTTTCACTTTCAGATTACAATAGTTGGCTTCCGAGGAAGTTTGTGTTTGCTTGTTTTTTAAACAGCTGCTCCCTTCCACTTCACAGGAAAGAAAAATGTTGCAAAATGATTTGCTGTTTTTAATTATTTCTGCAAGCTTACTTATGGAGAATAAAAACAAGGGCAAAACTTGTTCTGACAGTCACCCTTTAAAGGTTGCATGTTTTTACCTTTGTACCACAATATACACATATCATCCTCTGCCAGAACAGGACAAAGGTTGCAAAAATCTTTACTGGGAACAGTGTCAGCTGTTAAAAGCAGTCAATAAAAGGAACTTCATGAGATTTTCTGCCAGGTGCAATTACAAAATATTGCATACAATTACATTCCAGCAGAATTGGAATTCATGCAATATAGCATAGGAATTTATGAAACTTTTACACTTGTACACTTCCAGTGTCACCACAGTGTATCTAAACAGTTGCTATGCTCTTGTTATGCTAGTTTCTCCAAAATGAAAGATCAAATTTAAACAAACTTCTGTTGACAATGTGACTCGTCCTTATTGAAGTATAGTAATTCCTGTCCTATGGGATATACAGCCAGTATCAGATGAGATGTTAATACTCTGCTGCTTCAAACAGAACACCTCATGGCCTAATTGGCTGCTCTAAGCATGTGTTCTAATCTTACCTTTATCTCTACTATCATTTAGCACTTTCTATTCCAGAGACAAGTGCGTGAGCTCAACTGATAGTGTATCAGGAGTTACCTGAGAAAATAAGAACATAAGACCAGCCCTATCAGATCAGTTCAAAGGCCCTTCTAGTCCAGCATCCTGGTCTCACTGTCCAGCCAGATGCCTATAGGTCCTGCCCACAAGCACCCTCATGTTCCCCAATGACTGACATTCAGAGTCATGGTGCCTCTGCTCTGGCAAGTAGTACATACAGCCAACATGATCAGTAGTCACTGATAGCACTGTCCTTCATGAATTTGTCCAATGGCCTTTAAAGCCAGTTGCAGCCATCCCTATACCTTGCAAATTCCATCATGAACTGTGTATAATAGTACTTCCTTTTTGTCTGTCCTGAATACCCCACAATCAGCTTTTTCAAAGGTCCCTCCAACTGAATTCCATTCTGCATATTTGGTAACTTATGTTGGAAGGGTTTGATCACTGGTAAGGGCCGATATTTGAACTCGAAACCTCCCGTGCCTCATCAGTATCCATGTTCTGTTGGCTGTTGTTGTTTTTAATTAATTGCTGGACCAATTATCTTGCAAATAGCCCTGTAATTGTTGTTCATAATGTATCTATCATTCTCGTCCTGGAATCTGTCCCTCTGCTACATTCTTGTGTAACCAAGAAATGAACCTGGGAAAGGCTTATGCAAATACAGGACCATTGTTCCATTCATTTCGATGGCAAAAAGTACATGTGTAGCAATGCGGAACATGGAACAATTTTCATTCCTCCCCAGGCCTCGGAGTAACTAGGAGCTGGTTTGGCCACCACGCCACTCTCTCCAAATGCACACCCTAAGCCCATCACATGGCTGCCGTTCACTCCTCAGCAGCGGGCGAGGGGGAAATCCTGCACTTGAGCACGCCGCTTATTTATTTCGCAGCTTTTTTGAACTTAATCGTGAAAAAACTGTGGCGATGGCAACATGATTGGCAGTCGCCATCCTTCCCGCCCCCGTGAAGAGGCATCTGTGCTGGAACGGGCTGCACGACAGGCAGATATTTAAAAGGCTGCCAATGAAAATATTGCAACGATAGGGAAATCAGCACCTGCTGAATTTCTGCCTAGCATGCAGCTAATGAATGAATGAATGGCGCAGGTGGCAATGGGGAATTATTTCCTTGAAAGAGCCCAACGCATGGGAGATGGAGGGCATATTATATCTGTGGCGAGCAGCGAGTGACTAAGAGAGGAGGACTGCCCTTTGCCAGAGCGGAGCAGCCCCCGGGGAGCCTGTCTCGCTCATTGTCTTCTCCCTTTTTCCCGCCACAGGTCCCGAGCAAGCCTCGCTCCCCTCCGCCGCCCCCTCCTCCTTCCCCCCTCTCTTTGGCGCCTTTTCCTTCCCGCCACGTCGAGTCTCTTTCCATTCTGACGGAGAGCCGAGGCGCGGGCTGGCGGCTGCGGCGCCGATTGGCCGGCTCGGCGCCGGTGGGCGGAGCTTCGCCGCTGTTGGAGACCTGCCCGCCGGCTCTCCCCGGCTCCGCCCCAGCGCTGCTCCCTCCCACTTTACTACAGGCGGCTGAGGCCGGGGCCGTCGCGCCACACGGGAGGGAGCAGGCTGGCCCGGCACGACCCCGCCCGCAGCTCCCGCCCGTGCCTCGGAGACGCCAACCCAGCAGCAGCAGCAGCTGCCTCAGAGACGCCGCCGGTCCCGGCCTGCTTGGAACACGCGGACGGGGCGGGAATGTTGCTCTCCAAGATCAACTCCCTGGCCCACCTGTGCTCCGCGCCCGGAGGGGACCTGCACCCGGTCAAGCCCCTGCCAGGTCAGCCACACCGGAGGGGCAGGGGATGGATGGGGGGGGGGTCGGGCGGCCTGCAGGCGCCCCTCACGGTCGGTCGGGGTCGTGAGGCGAAGGCGGGGCTGGGGTGGCGGCCAGGGGTTTGTTTTGTTTGGGGAGCGGCTGATGCGGAGAGATCGGGCGGGAGGGAGAGCAGCGTTGCTGAGGAGGCGCAATGGACTGACCTCCCCCCCCCTCTCCCATCCCTCGTTTTCTCTCCCTTCGCAGGAAAAGAAAAGGAACCCCTGGAGAAGTTGTACCAGGTGGGCCCGCTGCTCGGTAGTGGCGGCTTCGGCTCGGTCTACTCGGGGACCCGGCTGGCGGATGGAGCTCCGGTGAGTGCTTGGCCGCGGGTGGATTGTGCTCCCATTTGCTCCCCATCGCTCTCCCTCTACGTTTTCCCCTCACCCCAATTTTCTCCCCAAAAAATACCCCTTCCATTCATTCCAATCCCCTCTCCCTCCCCGCCACCCATGGCATTTCTTTCTACCGGTCCTGTTCGCTCACTCCATTTCCCCCCTCTTTAATCTTCGTAGGTGGCGATCAAGCATGTGTCCCGCGACCGGGTTTCGGAATGGGGGGAATTGGTAAGTGTTTGATCGGAGGAATGCCCCCGTGTTGCTCGAGAGAATCTCTTTCAGCTTTCAGTGATCTGCCACAATGCAGGTCGATTGATTCTCCTATTCATGAATCCTGTTTTCTCTCTCTCGCCCCCCCCCAAAATCACATTGCAGCCTGGTGGAACGAGGGTACCGATGGAGATCTTGCTCTTGAAGAAGGTTGGCTCTGGCTTTCGGGGCGTAATCCGGCTCCTGGATTGGTTTGAGAGGCCAGACAGTTTTATTTTGGTTTTGGAACGGCCTGATCCCGTGCAGGATCTCTTTGATTTCATCACGGAGCGGGGTGCTCTGCCCGAAGACTTGGCTCGCAGCTTTTTCCGTCAGGTTTTGGAGGCGGTTCGACATTGTCACAGCTGTGGGGTTCTGCACCGGGATATCAAGGACGAGAATATCCTGATTGACCTGAGCAGTGGAGAGCTCAAACTTATAGACTTTGGATCTGGAGCGCTGCTCAAGGACACAGTGTACACTGACTTTGATGGTGAGTCTTGTCAATTTCCATTCACTGCTTCGAGCCAGGGAATTTCCTCTTTGAAACACTGTGTTCCCGGGGTTTGAGTGCTTTGCAGCAATGGAACATGTTCTTCCTCTGAGCTGTAGGACTTGTTCTTCTTATGAAATACATTTTATCCTGATTGCCTACACAGTTTCTGTTGATAGGCGATTTAACTCCAATCAACTGCTAGACTTTGCTAATGGTTTTCTTTATGAGCCTGAACCTACTGTCTTATTTGTGGTGTGAAAATAGAAAGTGAAGGAACCAGGCAGTAAACATGTTGTAAATCTGAGTGGCTACTAATTCACTTGTGAGGGAGTGCAGAAGTGCAAGGCTGAATGTAAACATGTTTGCAGGCATACTGTTCAAAACCTTGAATGCTAATCAAAATCTGTAACTAAAGGGAAAATCTTAAAGTACGTGGATTTCTATCTTTCTAAAACTGATAGATGACTGAAAGGGTTTTGTAGTTTGTCCCTACGAAGAGCAGAGTACAAAAAAGCGGAGGAGGTAGTTACTAAGATCTGCTGCCTCTGCCACCTCACTAAATTAATCATTTTAAATGGAAAGTTGCTTTTCGTCATGGCATGAATGTTGTGAAATCTAATCTGGAAGAGATCTGTTTACATTCATCTCACTTTACCTTCCCTGCTAAGAAGCACAAATCAATAATTTGTTTAACAAAATGTGCATGTGAGGGAAAGGAGATTAAAGTATTGAAGATTTGAATAGAAATGCGAGCTGCTCACAGACATTGTTTCCAGAAAACAAACCAAGCTTCTAGCCGTTGCTAACGACTCTTTTCATGAGCTGTTGACTTTCAAAAAATCACGGCTGGCTTTCAGTTTGGTTTGTTTGTGTGTTTTTTTTGCCTCTGGGTTCCTGAGTGGCATGAGCTGCCTTGCATTTTTTGTTTTGTTTTTAATTTAACGGTTAATGACCAGGGGTGGGTTTGCTCCTCCCTCCGTTGCCCTCTTTCTTGCACAAATACTCAAGCTTCTGGTGCCCCCTGGTGGCTCTTGCGGATTTTTTTTACAACCCAAAGTTTGTAAACAAGAGTCACGTGGCTGGAAACCAGACTAGCAGCTCTGACCTCAGTATCCTTGCTTCCTGCCAGCAAGGAGGTGGGTGGGGGAGAGAGATCAGATACTGCAACAAAGGGTGCCAAGAGCTACTGCAGTGGTGCAAGTAAGCTGCATCTCAGCATCACCACATGCAGAACTAAAAGATAAAGCCACCACATCATACTGTACATTCAATCTTTGTCAACATCTTAAGCAGCTTGTCTTCAGAAGTCCATGCCTGGTTTTTACTAACTGCATTGTCATAGTTGAAAACTAGTTCACTTGATGTTCCTGGTCCTTTGATCAGTGTGTCCAAGCGCTGAAAAAAATCAGCACTGAGGTGATTTGTAGGAATTTTAAACCTCATGATGAGACCTTCCTCTTCTTTCTCTTCTAGGGACTCGTGTATATAGTCCTCCAGAATGGATTCGCTACCACAGGTACCATGGTAGATCTGCTGCTGTCTGGTCGCTTGGAGTACTGCTCTATGACATGGTCTGTGGTGATATCCCCTTTGAACATGATGAGGAGATCGTAAGAGGTCAAGTTTATTTTCGGCAAAGGATTTCTCCTGGTAAGTGTCTGCTGCTCTTATGAGATATTGGATAACTTAGCGGACAGGATTCGTCCACTCTCTGCTTTGAGGGACAGTACTGGGAAGTATTTCTGATGATCCCAAACAGTTTTTATATTAGATGTTACTGCTATATGCTAAAGCATGCAAGTAGCACTTCAGCTGCTGAGGGGGGAAAACCTAGAATTTGAAATTAAGTGGTGTGTTACCTCTAAATTGCAGAAGCAAGTGTTCCCAAAACACTGTTATTGGGCTTCCAGTCAGATTTTGAATCATTCCCTTGATGTCAAACTTGAAGCCAACACACCCTGGTATGAATAGCAAAGCAAACATTAGTTAACCATTGTTTCAGCCATGTAAAACAGTCTTGTTTTATAAGCAGGTTGAGATTTTGTTGCATCATCAGTGTCCTGTTTTGTAGATTCTCTTCAGCAATGCACCTATTCCAACTTTGTCCTTTCTTTTTGCAGAGTGCCAGCATCTTATTAAGTGGTGTTTAGCTCTGAGGCCTTCTGACCGGCCATCCTTTGAAGACATTCTGAACCATTCTTGGATGCAAGAAGTTCTCCTGTCTCAGGAAACAGCTGAGATCCACCTGCACAGTCTACTGCACGAGTCTAGAAAATAGCAGTGTGTCTCATCCTTTTGGGGTGCAAAACAGAATTCTGCCCTACTGATTCTGGCTGAGTGGGGATTTTTACAGGAATACCATCATCTCATTGCAGACACAGGCTGCCTGGAGACATTTCCAAGCCTGAAAAAACCATCTCTCCTGGACGAGTGGATTTAAACTCTTTGGGTCCCGCTTTGCAAACCTCCTTGCCACTAGATGACTTGAGCAACTCCATGCGTGTTCATAACCTGCTGAATCCTAGAATATGAAACAAGTGGAGCAGACAACTAGAGCAGACTCTCAATTGGGGGAATCTGGGATGGGGAAACACCAATTTGGACTGGCCCCTGTCTTCACTGTGTCACCATGTTCTGAGTGCCTTCAGTTGCAACTGAGCTGTGCTGGGGGAAAGAAAATACTTGAGCGTTCCTTCCTTGCTGCTGCCTCAAGATTTACCTGGGTTTTGGTTTGTTCCACCTTCTAAAAGAACTGCTTGAAAAGAGGCTTTGGGTGATCCACTGGCAAACCCTAGCTCTGTGCTGTACAATATGAACTCTGAGTTGGCTCTTGCCACCTCTCACGTGAAGGCATCCTCAAGTGCACAAACAATGCAACCCAATTAACTGTAAATTTGTACAGATCAATACAGGAACAAAGCTTGGTGTACAGAAGATTGCAGTTTATAATGTTTTTACTCCTGTTTTTTTAATTTATTTCTAGGGTTTTTTAATGGAATATCCTAACTTTAGGATCTTATTTATTTTATTTATGAATCATGTGGGTTCTTAGCCTACACTTCACCGCTACAGCTGCTGACCTGATATCCTGTCACATTGCCCCTCTCCTCCCCTTTCCCAACTTCCTTCCTCCATTGGGTTATTTTCTGCCTATTCTGCTCTGTTTGATGTCTTGCCACTGTATGGAGTAGCTGACCTGCCACTCAGCCATCTGTAAATAGTTCCAGCTGTGGCTGTTCAGCCTCCCCGAATGTTTGAGACATGTTTTCACAGGTATTGGTGGGGGGAGGGCATATGTACATAGTACTCTTCTTACTTAAAGTGGAGCGAGATACCCTGGACTTCAACATTGTCAAGCTTCTATAAGTAATTTGGTGTGTAGTCTGCTGGTTTTGTTAATAGCTAATACTGTACAGGGAATTCAGAATTGCTATTTTTTTTATACATGCAGTTTTAAATAAAAATGAAAACTTGATTTTAATCGGATGTCTGGCTCTTCAATGGGCAGTACTAGACTTTGGATGCACAGTTTGTTTCATATTCGCACTGTTACTGCAAAATGTTTAACTCAAATTTTTTGTAGCCCTATTTCCGGCTAGAAAATGTCAGCAGAAAAAAGCCACAGAAGGTTGCATTAACCTGCAAATGCTGGGTTAATGGTACCAATAAACTACTTTGGGTATGGATGTTTCAGTTATATTGCAACATAAATTCTCCAACCTAGAATGTGGATTCTAGTCTTGGGAGAAGGTGGGGGTAGTTAATGAGTCAGAAGAGAAAGTTGGGGAATGCCTTGCCTATTTAACCCTATATTTTCCTCACTTTCCCATATCTGACGATTTCTGCTCTGCCACTACAATGGCCAAACCCATTGGACTGCCCCATTTTTCTTATTGCATGCATGTGTGACTGGAGTTTTTCACATGGGTTATGTGTTAGTTACACCAGCAGTTGGTGTACTATTTAAGTTGCAACCTTAACTCCATTTCGGCTTAGTGAAGTCCCCTGATTTCCAGGGGCCTTACTCCAAGGCAAATATGCACAGGCTTATATCCTGAAGGGTGTTTCTGTACCACAGTTACCATTTGTTTTGTGAAGAGGCAAAGCTCATTAAAAAAAAGAGCACACAATCTTTTGCTCTCCAAAATATTGATAGTTTTAGCTGCAATTCTTTTTAATACATTGACTGCAGGAGGTGCAGATACAGGTTCAAATACAGATACTGAGCTTCCAGTGCTTCCTAATTCTCTTGTGAACACCAAATTGGTTTTCACCAAATCTTACAGCAGGGTAAATGGCCTTTATATACCATTTTTCTTCGGAGGCAAACTTTGCAAAATGCAAAGTTATTTGTGGGCTTTTAAAAAATTCAATTAAATACTTACTGAGCTTCTGAATAAGAGGGGGTTTTAACCCTCTCCTGGTGCCATTTTTCCAAAAGGATGAGCTTGCAGTTTCAGTGGGACAATTTTGGGAAAATGGCACAGGAGAAAAGGGCTACTTACACATAATACCATGGCTCTGAAATAAGCTGCAATCCACTGCAGTTATGCAGTATTCCACTTCTTAAAATGTCAGAAGATCTGATCATAGAAATCTCACATACCATGTAGGGTGGCCCTTAAATTAGTTCAGCTATCAACACCAGCCTGCTTGCCTTCAAACATTTGCCTCCTAAATGCAATTCGTGGAAGCAGGTCCTATGAATTTCAATTAAATTTGCGCTTATGTGTGTTAGTGAGACTGCCATAGGCCCACCCTTATTCCTGTAAGGGTTGGTTGACTGTTACTTATTCTGAGAAAAACTTCCCACAACGGAGACAAAAGTGACCAGAAAGTCAAGCTGCACAGAGGCTGATCCAATGATAGAAACAAGCCACAGTAGGAAGTTGCTATCTTCCCCCCACCCTTTGCTATGTCAGTAAGGAATGACAGATCTTATGTCAGGAATAAATATGATACCTCTTCACTGCAGCAAGGATTCCAGCTTAGGAAAAGAAAATTTGAATTAAATTACAGCACATTTGGGTTTTAACTGTGGGAGCAGCACAAAACAGCATAGGCCAAACTTTGCCACAGGTTTAGGGGGAAACAGATTTGATTTTAGTTAATTGAGCTCGTTCAACAAATGGTTGTGGCACACTTTTCTTGCCAGTTCACTGAAACTCAGGGTCAAATGTCACATTATAGGAAATGACCACCACACACGTAATTCTCCACTCTTCCTAAGGTCTGGGATCTGTGTGCTGCTGACCTACAGCATTCAGCACATCCTTCTCCCAGGCCACAGACAGCAAATGTGGTTGGCAGTGTGTGTATGTGTGTAGGATGTCAGGGAAAACACAGGTACCGTGACACAACCTGAATGTAAAGTCGGGGAAGCCAGACATGCAAGCATCTGCCGTCAGCCACGCATCATGCAGTTATATGTACCGCCATCTTTGGCTTCAGTGAACATAACAATCCTACGAGCCACCAGCCACCTTCCATGCACCCAACCTGCACTCTGGGTTGCAGAATGCTCATTGTTTTTTAGTCAGAATTGTCTATCACAAGCACAAATCACAAGTTTGCATGGAAACAAAATAAAAAAATTCCTTCTAGTGGCACCTTAAGAGACCAGCTAAGTTTGTTATAGGTATGAGCTTTCATGTACCACTAACAAACTTTGTTGGTCTCTAAGGTGTTACTGGAAGGAATTTTTTTTATTTTGTTTCGACTATGGCAGACCAACACGGCTACCTACCTGTAACTAAGTTTGCATGGGTTTGTTCACTTATGGAGGTAGGCATACAACACTATAACTATGATGGCATGGACAACCCTGTTGCTATGATTATCAAGCACACCAGAAAATATGGTGTATGAATTAACCCTGGGGCAGTTGGCCTAAAGTACGAAAGGTTTCCACAACACAAACACTTGACTGACTTACTCATCTTGTCTAGATCATGTGGGCATTCACAGAAACTTCCCAAAATTGTAGTCTTTGCGCTCCAGACTGCAGTGCCTCTATTGCTGTTTACTACCTTCAAATATCTTAAGGGCTGTCACATGGAAGAGGGAACATGTTTGTTTTCTCCTGCTCTGGAGGACAGGACTCAAACCAATGGCTTTAAGTTACAAGAAAGGAGATTCCGACTAAACATTTGGAAAAACTTTCTGACAGTAGGGGCTGTTCGGCAGTGGAACAGACTCCCACGAGAGGCGATGGACTCTCCTTCCTTGTTGGTTTTAAAGCAGAGGTTGGATGGTCATCTGCCATGGATGCTTTAGCTGAGATTCCTGCATTGCAGGGGGGTTGGACTAGCTGACCCTTGGGTCCCTTCCAACTCTAAGCTTCAATGTTTCTATTCTGCCTTCTGTGTTGGAGAGAAAAGCTTTGAATAATCATTTGAAGGAGACTTTAACAGGCAGTTATAAGCAGGATTAAGAAGGGGAAAATGTCCTCTCATGCTTTCTCCATGTATGGAAATCATGGACCAATGACCATTGCGTTTGCATAGGATGACACAATGAACTTGGTTTCTAATTAGTTATATGTAGTTCACATCCATATTCAATTCAAATACAGATTATTTTTGTATCTCTGAATTGAATGAACAAGTTGGAATAAAGCAGCACCCTTTAACACGGCATATAGAACCTTAGCACTGCTTGCATTTTCTCCCTGGGCATCATTGCATGTGTGTATTAGTTCTAACAACGCATTTTGATGTGTCAGAAGCAGCACTTCCTAAACTGCCCCACTGTCAAATCTAAAAATATGGCTGCTTGCTAGTGTGTGACTTTTAATCCTTTTTTGGGGGGGGGGATTATGCCCATCCAAAGGCTGGGTCATCTCATCACTGGTCCAGATAGGTGATTCCTGACTCAGCTTGTAGCAGTGGGGTGGCTAAGGCAGATGTTGATAGGATGGGATGCTAAAGCCCCTCTCCAGCTCTTGAGTGTTCCTGCCACTCTTATAAGACTCATGGAGAAATAGCCCCTCTCAGCAAGCATACTGCCAAACACCACCAGATGCAACTGCTATCGCTATGAGATGAATGCACTTTGTGTTGACAAGCATGTACAGGAAATAGAAGCACCAACATTAGCACCATGCAAGGTGTTTGCTTACTGTTACATAGCAAATGGTGTTAGGAGTCCTGACATTCCCAAGGTGTTTTGTGAGACATACTCCCATATGTATCATTTTGCTAAGGGCGGGTACCTCATGAAAGGATGTTTGATCTCACAGAGTAAGGGAGGGCCTATGTTCAAAGAAATGCAGTATCTCCTGCTTTGCTTGGGATATTCTTTCAGCAGGGAAGAAATACATGAGCCCAACACCGACTCCTACTCCTCCCCAGATCTGTGTCATTTGAACACTGTTATGTATCATTTGAACAGGCAAAGAGTTATCTGCAACTCTATACAACAACTAACTCAACTTATTTTCTCAATGAATTGGGAATGGAGAGTGTTACCCTTTCCCATCTTTGCTAGTAATCAATCTAGGATGATCAGTGCTGGCTTTATAGAAGAGTGGCAGCTGTATATCCATTAAACAAACAAAATTTAAAGAGGACAGGGTCTTAAAATGCCTTTCAAACAAGAAAAATAAGTGCTGTATGAGTACTGGGGTCCCACAAGGGCATGAAACAATATATGAAAATTAATTGCAGGTAATGTTTCCAAAACTACATTTCTCATCAGTCAGCACAGCAACGAACCTACTATTCTCAAAGCAGCTTCCCAAATCGGCAGTGTGTCAAATTATATGTGACAGTTGCATGATTGGACCACCTAATTCTTTTTTTTAAAAAAAAAATATATGTAAATGCTGCTGTGGCTTGCTTGTCAGCTTGAAATAAGCCACAGCGCTGGGGGAGGTGATGTCTAACCCTGTGTCATTTTCCTGATCAAATTCCCTCCTCTGTTGCTATTTCCACTTTCCATAGCTGCTTTTAAAACAAAACAAAACGAAAACTAGACCCATTTTAACTTTTTACATGGAAACAGCACCATCTGCTGGCTTGTTATGGAAGCATAATGTAACCAACTTTGGTGCTGTGTGGTGTTTCGCATTATATAGGAAACTTCATAGACAACCATTATAGAGTTACCTTGTGAAGAGAATGCTAGAGACTTGTGTTTTTATGTATCTGTTTGCTACAAATTTGTAGGCTGAGCTGGAGTGGGTGGGTGGGAGCGGGCTACTACCCAGACAGACACAGTTTTAAAATCATCACCCCACAATGCAAACAGCATGCATGCATTTGAATTCCTTCATGTTTCTTCTTGCCAGCCAGCTGCAGTGTTTCAAACTGTCAGATCAGTTTCAGTTGTTGCAGCCTGTTCACATAGACAAAACACTCCAGTGAGGCCAGCTACCTGTTCTCTCCAACTCTGTCCATGATGGCTAAAAATTTTTGTAGGGGAAGGGATTGATTGGATGAATCCAGGTATTGGTTAATGTTTCATTATGAGAGGGAATTATGTCCACCACCCAAGGAAAGGTAGTGGTAAGGCTTGTACTTGAAGAGACAAGGGTTTTAAGAAAACTACTATTCAGTCTCTAATATTCCCTTCTTGAGCAAGGTGGCTGACAGCGTGGCCACTGACAGGTGCAGTTATGCTTGGACGAAGCAATTATCTAGATTCATTTCAATCTGGCTTCAGCCTCCTTTTACCACTAAAACACCCGGTTCCCCCGACTAATGACAGAATATCAGGAGACAATTGGGACCATAGCCTTGTTGGTTCTCCCCAGTCTCTCAAGACTTTTGACACCATTGACCATGGTCTCCTTCTGAACCCAGGGGGATGGAAGTTGCAGGCATTGTATTACAGTGGTTTAACCCCTACCTGCAGAGTCATGACCAGAAAGTAGTACTAGGGGGGTCCTACAAGGTCCATTTTATGTCCTATGCTATCAGACACCTATCTGAAACATCATCATCATCATTTTATTTGTATGCCGCCTTTCCATAGTTGAAACTATGCTCAAGGCGGCTTACAACATGACAAGATTTACACAATTAGAAACATAACAGAAGTCATAAACAATAAATAAAACACATCAAAAAGTACACAACCAAATGGAAACAATTTCCACGTAAATCACAAGATCTAAAACTAAAGATACAACAGCTCTCTCAACCCCCTGTAAACAATACTCCAGCCCAAGAATCTTTTCAACGGCTTCAGCTTTTGTAGCTGGAGTCAGTCAGCACTCCACTCTCCCAGGCCAGATGGGAAAGGGCCAGCAAGGCAGGGTGCAGGTCTTCCAGTTGAGAGCTGTGTTGTCTAAGCATTTGTAGTACGGTGCCATCAGTGTGCAAATGACACAGTTGTACCTCTCTGTCTTGTTTTGATGTAAAGGAACCTTCCACAACCTGATCATTGGCTGTGCTTGATAGGGCTAAGGCGAGTTGTAGTGCCTCTGGCCTTTGTATAGTAGGCAACATTCAAGTCATGCGCAATTCAGAGGTTTCTATACCCACTTCTCTCCATCCAGGTAAGTAAGAAGCATTACTGCAGTTCGAGGACACATTCCAGCCAGGTGAGAACACACAAGGAGTTAATGGAGTAGGGCCAGTGAGGAGTGGGGTCTGGGAAGGGATGTGGTCTGGTGACAATCCTGGAGGACTGCAGTTGGCCCCCCAGGCCTGAGATTTCCTAGCCATACACTAGAGAGTAGTAACTAATAGAGAAACATGTCCCTTGTGGTTATATTTTTGTTTTTTGAATTATGCTCTAATTTCCACAACTATTAAGATGAATTATTTGGGTATGAAACCAAGTTGAACTGTCACCTTCCTATTTTTCAGTGCCAATTACAATATTGTTTTTTTAAACACTGTTGCTAAAATGTTGCCAAATAAAACGGCAGTTGTGAAGAGGCAAGTGGACCTGACTGCCCAAAAACATCATTTGATAACAAAACCATGTCTATGAAAAAGATGGGGGAAATCTATACCTCCAGAGATTGCACCACTGTTCCGCTCCTTCCCCAAACGCGCACACACACACACACACACACACACACACAAATCCGCTTTGGTTAAGGAAATGAAAGAAGCTCAAGAAAAACAACTACTTGACTTACACCAAACTTTGCCAAAGTGTGTTTGCTGAAAAACGTGAGTGTGGGATTGTGAGGTAGGCATTGCCAGGGAAGGAGAGTGTGTGTGTGTGTGTGTGTGTGTGTGTGTGAATGCTCTATCCTTCCTCTTCCTGCCACTTTCTCCCTGAACTCTCCCTAGACTGACTTTTCTTCCTCACCAGGATTCTTTTCAATCTTGGGACCAGCTAAAATCAAGCCAGCTACTGGGGAAGACTTGTGAGTGGTTAAGCACTACCAATTGCTTTCCTCCTGCAAAGTCCCCATCTCTGCATTTGTATTACCGTATTTTTCGCCCTATAGGATGCACCGGCCCATAGGACGCACCTAGGTTTTTTTTTTGGGGGGGAATAAAGGAAAAAAATCCCCCCCAGCCACGGATATCTGCCCAAAGCGCAGGGCGCTCTGCTTCAGCGCGCCCCATGCTCTGTGCAGCAGGCTGCTATCCGCAGCCTAGGGAGCCCTGTGGGAACTCCCCCAAGCTCCCCAGGCTTGTGGATAGCTTCCTGGAGAGCGAGAGGGGTCGGTGCACACCGACCCCTCTCGCTCTCCACACTTCAGCGAAAGCCTGCATTTGCCCCATAGGACGCACACAGATTTCCCCTTCATTTTTGGAGGGGAAAAAGTGCGTCCTATAGGACGAAAAATACGGTATTTAGTAACCTTGAGGCAGTGTGTCATTCTGGCCAAAGAAAGGGAGCAAACACTACTTTAAAAAGAATAATCTAGCAATAAATAATCTTCGCTGTGACATTTCACATCCAAGCACATATGTTGTTAGAGACATCAGCTTTTTCCACGGAATTTCATGATCCCAGTTTTCCACAGCCATATCATTGTGATTATATGAGTTAGAAAGGAAACTATTGCCTTGCCCAAATATTCTGATGATACAGTTCACATGTCTTCATAACTCAATCAGGCAAAACAAGATTGTGTGTATGTGGGGGGGGGGAGGGGGAATAATCCAAAATACAATGGAGAGGAAATATATGTTTATTAAGGACATCAGGTCAATCCAATAAGGTAATAAGAATTTAAAAAAAAACAACAAAACAAAAGTCAAACCACATGCAGCACCACTTAGAATGCATGAATTTATACATCAGATTTGCAACTCTGGCAAGACAAACCCATGTTTTGCGGCCCTGCTGAGTGTTTGACAATCCCTCTGTTCTTGCAGTTCCAGGCAGGCAACAATAACCAGAGGCTTTTAAAGCTCCCAGTGGCCAGCAATACAAGGTTGATGAACTGTACTCATCTTGCTATGTCCCAAGCATTGCAAGCCTGCTAGTTTGCACAAATTATCTGACAACTCTTACTGAACTCTCCTAGCATTGATACCCAGCCTAAACTTGGGAGGCTCTGACACACGTCTTGATATCCGCCTTGTCTTCAGTGACATCCTCCCTGTGCTTCTGCCTTCAACAATCATCAGAAGATATGTTATGATAAAGAGAAGCCAAAAGCAGTCTGTGGGGATTCTGGTGGCCAATCCAAACCATTCCAAGTCACTTATTGAATAAAGAGCTGCCCTTGCTGTTAGAACTACGAGGACAATGTTGGCTAGATCATAGAAGATGATCCAAACAATGTAGATAAACAATCCTACAGTGTCTCGCCTCTGGATGGATAAGAGGAAGTAGAAACAGATAGGATAAGTTATAACAGCCAAGCCGATTGCAGTGTAATAGTAATATGGGATGACCCACATCGTTCCAATGGAATAATTTTCTTCCTGATGCAGTTGTATCAGAGTTAGGGAGCGATTTAGGTGGCCAGCCTCAAAGATCAGGTACATATTGGTTGTCAGAATCATGTAGACCCCAGCTAGAAGAGATCCTGCTTTTGGAGCTACACCACAGATACCACCTGCAAACAGGATGATCATCTTCTCACTTCCAAAAATCCCCTGAAAGGCAAGTAAAACTGAATTAGTAGTGAAGGATATGGAAAATGTTTCCAGAATTCTCTGAGAAAGCTTAAAGATATGTTCAAACTAGAGATAAATACAAAACATCAGAGTAGGAGAGAATGCAAATATATTGATGCACACCTAGGTCGCTTCCAGACTGTCCTGTCTTGTGGGTGGGATTCAGCTGTTTACCAGAAATACATGTTACACAATTTAAGTACATTATGCACTCTTTGTCAACCACTTACACACTCACCCCTTTTGCTGTAAGGAAAGTGATGGGAACATGTAGGATAACAGCAGTTGCTTAACACAATGTTGTATAACCTTCCAGCAAAGAAATCAGAATGAATGTGCAACCAACAGTGGATGATTTATAACTACCTCACAAAAATTGTGCAAACAAATCAGGATGAAGGCTCAGAAAGCAGGTCACATGAAGGTGACCTTGGATGCACAAGCAACAGCAACATATGAAATTGCATGCTTGCAGCATGACTTCAAGAATCCAAAAGAGCGCATAGATATCTGCAGAGGCAGAACCATCCCACCAAGTGTTATGTAGCACCTCTAAAAATATCCAGCTATTGCTATGATAGCCTGCAATTCAGAAATAAGTTTTGATTTTGGCCTGGAGAGGTCTTCCTTACAGAAAGTCAGGCTCACATATTCCAAACCAGCCCAGTTGCAAGAGTGCCTCTAAAATGTATTGTTTCCTTTCAGTGTAAATCTCTGCCATTCTTATCATTTGTAAATCAGAAGTAAGTAAAAGAGCAAATCAAACTAAGCTATTGGCACCCAGCTATCAAACCTCCCACTCTCTCCTCAAATTAAAGGTAAAGGGACCCCTGACCATTAGGTCCAGTCGTGACCGACTCTGGGGTTGCGGTGCTCATCTCGCTTTATTGGCCGAGGGAGCTGGCGTACAGCTTCTGGGTCATGTGGCCAGCATGACTAAGTCGCTTCTGGCGAACCAGAGCAGTGCACAGAAACGCCGTTTACCTTCCCGCTGGAGCGGTACCTATTTATCTACTTGCACTTTGACGTGCTTTCAAACTGCTCCTCAAATTAGGAAGCAATAAATTTCAACTGTCTGAGGCTTTTGCTTGAAAAGTCCAAAAGATATGTCAAGCTCCATCTCACCGGAGCAGAGGAATAAGATGCATTTCTAGAAATCATTTTGCAAACTTTTTTAAAACAAGCTCTTCCTGGCTGACATAATTTCTTTTTTTTAACACCCATTCACAGTGTTAGAAATTGAGATATGAAAGCTAGGAGCTAAATGGTACCTTAAACCTAGATTATGGGCACAACAATGGAGTGTCTAGGTGCACTTTTTTATAACAAGAATACAAAGCTGAAAATGAATGAACAGCAGCTAAAATATTACGTTCATTTTTCATGTGATCTAGTCCTTCCCTTGCCCACCCACCCCCCTAATATTCTTAAGAGCATCTCTTCTCCAGTCTTCAGAGAATAGCTGAAAGTGGGGAGGCAGAAAAAGCTTGTCCTTTCCTTCCACTCTGCAGTTTTAATCTGAAATCTCAGATGCAGTACTGCATCCAGAGCTCAGAAACTGATCACACTAATGAAATTCCCTGTTGCAAAATGGTAAAATGGCCTAGAACAATGGGAGTTTCAAACACTGCCCATTCACTATCAGGAAGAAAGAATTTGTTTCTATGCTAATTTTTGAGACTAACTCAGGCATAACAGGTGATGCTTTTCACTTTACTAGCTAGGAATCCTTTGGGTACTAAAGGGATCTCACCTCATTGTCAAGGAATTTTCTGATGGACTCCCCCACCCACCCACCCACTTTTCCTTCCCCCTAACCCCTTTGTTGCTGAAGAGGTACTCTTGCCTTCAACACACTGAACCTCAGGCTCACAAAATAAGGAAAGTTATTAAACTTTAGAAAGAAAGCCCATCAGCTGTCCAACACCTCCCTCCCCTTCTACCTTACACTTTGAAAACCAATCAAATTCCTCTTTCTAGGGGATACCAGTCTCTCCTTTTCCCCTTTGTCATGCTAATTTCTTCCTCCCTAATTTTCTCACCCCAAAAGCTCAGATCTCCCTATGCTCAGTAATCTCAGCCACTGTCCCAAAGTCTTCCATTTTTCTTCTGATTTTCACCTAAAACTCCCCCAAAGTCCTTCCCAATCATTCCTCTGACCCCCCTTTCTCTTCTGTAAATAAACAGCTCAAGCCAGCTCCCACCCCCACATTCTAGTACAACCTTAACCTCTTCAGCCAACACCCCCCCCCCCCGCAACTCTCTTTCCCTGACCACATCATAGTTTTCCTATGTGTTCCTAGGAATACTTCTAAGAATAACTCTTGCATGGTTTTAACTTTCCCAAGCCTCATTCTATTCTTGGTGTGCTGTTTATTGATTTTGTTTAATATGTTTAGTAAATGTGCTGATTCCTTTCTGAGGCAATCAGCTAATTCCCTTTTGATATAATAAAATTGACTTGATTTATCTCTGTTGCCTGTATTAACTCCTGGGGTACCAAACTCTGGAGTGTATCCAGGTCACAACCTCAAAAGATTCCTAGAAGTGTCAGGTTTGATTTTCCTGTTTCTTCTGTGTGATTTTTAATTCTCGTCTCTATTTCTGTAAATCTAGGTTCTAATTGTTTTACTGAATTTAACAGACTTACTGTTTTATTGATAATCTCCTTGTCTCTTTCTTTCAATGAATTTGTTATAAAGTATTCTACAGCAATCCATTTTCCTCTTTAGTTTTTAAAATAGTTTTGTGATTTTTAAAATAATCATCTTCAAATTCTTTAGCAAAAAAATGTTTTAATTGTTCTAGTACTGAGCATGCCACCTTCTCTGTCTATTGTAAAATCTGTTTTACCCATTTTGAAAGCTTGCACTTCCCAGTCTTAAAATGTGCTTCCATCTCATTTGTACATTTTCTGCTTTCTTTTCCAGCACAATTGATTATAATATCCAGAAAAGTAACTAATGCAAGCTTGCTGATATCATTTAGTTATCAGCAAAGAATGTTGAACCCAATAAAAGTTAGAAAGGGAGAAGAAAAAAGGTAAGGGAGGGGGGAGAAATCACTAAGAAATTCATTAGCCAAATAGGAATTAATTATTAATTATTTAAGCAATTTCATTACTATATTGTTCTTAACAGACTGAAATCTTACTGTTTCTAAGAAGTTCTGGCAGAAAAATAAAAAGGGGACGAGCACAAGGAATACAGCTGAAAAAATGAAAAGGTGCCAGACACTGTGACAGGATTCTATTGACCTCTGGGGGTGAGTGATGCTCTCTTTAGTTCAATTCATTGAACCTTATTTTCTAAATGGTTGTTTATGTGTTACTGCCTCAGTGCTATTATGATTATTATTAGTCCTTAAAAATAGTGTTGCAGTTGCACAGAACAGCTATCAATCACTCTCAGTGGTGCAGCTAGGACTGTGTCTCAAGGCTGAGGTTCAGTGCCCTGCAGTCCGGCCCAGCCCCACTGTGCCCAGTGGCAGATTGCTAGTGTGGTGACAGACAGGCCTTGTATAATCATCCTTTATTTTTCATTTTTAAAAGCACATTTTATGGCCACAGAATAGGCCAGTGGCCATGTACATGTTTTGAGGTTAATGGGAGATACAGTTCAAAACATTTGAATGGCTTGTGGTTGCAAAACATAGAATAGCAGCATTGATGGGGAAGAAGATAAATGCTAAAAATGTGTTTCCCAATTGAAGTAATACACATGACTGAATTGTGGCAATGTGGTCACCACTTCCCTCTCTGACAAGCAGTAGAAGTGCACTGGATGAAGAGCACAAGGGAGCAGCCTTGGTATGTTCTGTACTTGCTCTGTACTTGCACTTGTATTGATGTTAACTGCTGCCAAACATACTGCACATTTCTTCTCACCATTTTGAATCTGTTCACTTGATCTCTTGTGACCCCAGTTGTTTATCTCTTCCAAGGATTACTGCTGCATCAGAAAACAATGCCACTTACAGCAAGCTTCCTGTGAAGAAACATTAGAGGAGTAACACACTTGGAATATCCGTATGCTGATACCTTATTTGTCCAAGTGGATAGAGAGCTGCCTCCCCCCTCAATAAATACAAATACTTAACTAAAAATAGAAATTGTAGAAAGATTTTGAGAGATTTTTCGGAGCACTTGGGGGCAAAAGGAAGTAATTTAAAACAAATTGTTGTTGAGACATTTCATTCCGAATCTGCTAGACAGAGCCAGGCAAATGACAGGTGGATGTCCTGCTCCTCGTCAACATAAATCCTGACTGTGCCCACGACATTAAAGGAATGAACATGCCAAAGTTAAATAAGTTCTTGCATTCTCTCTCTCAAGCTGGCTATTGAGTAAGCCAGACTCATTTTGATCCAATGGGTGTTTTGTTCGCACCAATGCCACATGGGCAGTGGCATAGCGTGGGGGGTGCAGGGGGGGGCCGGCCGCAACATCTGGGGGTTAGGGTTAGGGAGCGCAAATCCATGGGTTAGGGGGCACAAATTACTTGCCTTGCCCCGGGTGCTGACAACCCACGCTACGCCACTGCCCATGGGTGCAGTTTAAAATCTATCCTTGTGAAGAACAGCATACCTACATTAAAAGGGAGGGCAATCTGAGGGCTTCTGAGGAGTTTCAGGTAGGAGCTGAAGGTGACTTTGCTAAAGAAAGCACATAAAAGTAGCGCCTCTGCAAAAATTGGCCTCTTTTTAATGGAAGATTCGAACCATCAGTCTCCCAATAATTAATGATTTTTTTAAAAGTCTGCCTAGATATGAAAGTGTTGTTTATTATTTTCCTCCCTGAGAGAGGGGCAGCCCCCAGCCTGCCTTGGTTTCCCTCACTGGCTTTCCGCTCCCGCTTCTCCGCGAGGACGGCCACTTTGACAGTTAAACCGCCTCCCGCTTCGACCAAACTGCACGTGGCTCCCCCCGCCCCCTCGCCGCAGCCTTCCTCCTCCCCCGCCCCCTCCTCTGTGCATCACTAGGTGAATCGCCCCGCCTCTCGCGCGTTGCGCGCGGCTCCTGGTCCCGCCCTCTCTTCGGCGGCGCCCCCCCCCCGCTTATGCTTCACGTTGCTTTAGGAATCTGACTCAGGATTGGCCAGCTAGGGGGACTCTGGCTCAGGCAACCAATGGCTGGGCCGCGCCCGCCCGACTCCAAGATGTCGGCGCTGAGGCCTGGCAACGGGGCTCCCGGAGGGAGGCGGTGAAGCGGCCTCGGCCGGAGGCTTTGGGCCCCACCGCTCCGGCTCGTCCCCTCCCTCCCGGAGCCGGCGGGGTGCTCGGCCTCTGCCCCTCCAGCCATGGCCGCGGAAAGCAGCAAGCAGTTCTGGAAGCGGAGCGCGAAGCTGCCGGGCAGGTGAGCGGCCGCATGAGGCTCGGTCTCCCACCAAGCAGCCGTGCCCCGGGAAGGCGGGAGCCGGTTGGCGGCGCCGGTTCCAGCGGGTGCTTCCCCGCCGCCATTCATCGCAGGGAGGTGCTTCGTGGGGGCTCGCGGCTCTCGTCCTGAAGCCGGTTAGCAGCCTCCCCGCATCTAGAGGGAGCAGGGCAATTGGGAAGAGGACCTCTGTGGGTCCCCCGATGCCCGTGAGGTGAAGCTCGGGATTGCGGTCGCGCCACGATTGCTCTCCGCTGCGGCGCCGGCTGGCCCGGTTAGTCAGCAGCAGCTGCAGTCAGAAGCCCATCGCCAGCCGGAGAGGCGAGGCTGGCGATCACGGGGCAAATGGGCTTTGCTAGGCTCCCATCTTCCTAAACCCGCCTTGGGGAACGACGAGACTCGCCGGTGCCTCCGTCCTCCCTTGTCCCGGGGCCGTTTGTATTTCGGAGCCAGCCAGGTTGCTCAGCGGACAGGTGCATTGGGTTGCTACTTTGCCCAGGAGCAGAAGTCACTTCCTCATTTGCATAGGTTAATCGGCGTAAGTCCGTATGGGCTTCCTTATCGTGCTGGCGCTTAAACGCTCTGATAGGAGTGAACTTCAAAACCGGGTGGCGAAGAGAATCAACCAGGCTTTAAAAAGCAAACACCAACTAATTACGACTCTTGCAACTCGGCAACTGAGAATCTTTGCTTTGTTATACCAAGAAAACTCTCTGGAGAACTTCAGGACACACAAAGCTGGCTTTCTAAATATGAAAGCAGAAGTCCTAGACTTCATATTCCGGAGACGATTTCTCCTTAATGTGCCCACCCCCAAAGCTGGTGAACAGGGAGTTTGCAGTGCTTAAATTACAAAGGGGTGATGTGGAGCGCGGCGGGATGCTTCCCATATTTATTGCTTTTAGCATTGTTTGGGGATGTGTGTGTGATTTGGTTAAAATGGATGAAGTTAGAGGTAAGGTGTGTGGATTTTATAAAAGCCCCCCCCATTTCTTCCATAGTAAACCATGGTGGTCTGTGCATCCTTTTGATAAGTCTATCAGTGATGGTTATAACTTATCTCCAGTATCTGAGGGACCATGCGTCATATTCTACTTGTTTTGGAAGACAAATGCTAGAGTATTTTTGCCCTCTTGTCCTGTGAGAACCAGTGTGGTGTAGTGGTTAAGAGTGGTAGACTCGTAATCTGGGGAACCGGGTTCGCGTCTCCACTCCTCCACATGCAGCTGCTGGGTGACCTTGGGCTAGTCACACTTCTTTGAAGTCTCTCAGCCCCACTCACCTCACAGAGTGTTTGTTGTGGGGGAGGAAGGGAAGGAGAATGTTAGCTGCTTTGAGACTCCTTCGGGTAGTGATAAAGTGGGATATCAAATCCAAACTCCTCCTCTTCTTCCTTGGGCTTCCCATAGGCATCTGATTGGCCACCAGGAACAGAATGCAGGACTAGATAGGTCTGACCCTGAAAGGCTCATATGTTTCTCTTCAGCACCGCTCCAATCACTTTATTATTTGGAAACATGGCTGCTGGGGAAACTGTTGTTGGCGGAGGGTTCTGGCTATTGTTGGACAGGGCCAAGCTGGGATGATCTGCTATCAGCCTTAAAGAGAGATTTCACATCCCACCCATGTGCAAACTCTTATACTTTTAACACTAATTCTATTGGAGTACATTCTTTCTCTATATACTTAGTGTTCAATTCTGATTAGGTTTCCTTCCTCACTCATTAAGAAGACACTTGAAAGCTTGAGGAAACTGCACAATTGTTTGACCGCTCTGAATGAGATTGAGCGATAACTCTCCTCTTTTGATGATTCAGGAGCATGTGCCCCTGAAGAAAGTGAGGTAAGACCTAAGAGGTGATCTTGGCCTCAGGTTTGGGATAAAGGCTGTATAATTCATGAGGCTGTTGCATTAGACTTCAAGCTTTCTAGAATACCAAGGTTCACAACCAGAGTTAAGTGCAAAAGTTATACACTTGGAATTAAATAATTCTGAGCGGAGGAATTTGTTTGGAATACCACCCTTCCGCACAAAAATCCACTTGTGGTTACCCCCCCACCCCACCCTTCAGCAGTGCAATGCAGAATCATTTTGCTGTTCCCATTGTTAAACAATTGGGAGTCATAAATCCTTGCTGATCTACTTCAGATCTCTCAGTAGATCCTAATTTATCTTCTGCTCACCCCTGTGTTATAGTGTTCACATGCTCTCTAACCTCATATTGACCGTGCTGTCCCAAGCCAGTTCACCACCGCGAGGCCTCTGGAATGCTTAGCTGGCTTTAAATCCTGCCAGGCTAGTTAATTCTCTGTTTCTCCCTCTAATGTCATCCATCTCTCCGCCTGTCAAACTCTACCAACTTTCTGGGGTAGTTTGGATGTGTGGGAAAAGTACAGCTAAAGGTCTTATAATACGTACTTGGGAAGAAAAGAAATAACAAACATTATTTCTGCAAGTGTGCTGGTGCCTCACTATCTTAGCTTTCTTATCTCATTGCCACATCCTGCTTGCTCACTTGTGTGTTTCTGCCTCTCTAAATCAAGATGTTGTTTCCATCTATAGCTAATTTAAACAGTGAAGTTGACTAAACCAGGTAAACCGGTTTTGGGAAAAGAAATGATCCAACTTGAACTTCAGCCCAACCAATGAACTTAAGCTTTATTCACTGATGTGTACGTTGCCTGCCAGTCAATAGGCTGCTGTGATAGCTCAGGCCAATGGAAGGGGGAGGTGGGTGCACCTACTCTTTTATTTAAATAGCCTGTAGCCTATGTCTTGCCCTCTACCTACTTCTGTGTTCTGAAGCACATGTAGCTAGAAGATGAGTGAAATGAGGGCTAAGTCCTAGGCCCCCCCTCCACATAGCTTTTTCCCCAGCTTAGTTGTCTGAATTGTTTGTTAGAAGTACAGTTTTCCTAAACTGTGCAAGTAAAGTTGTCCTTGTGACCAATAGCCCTTATGACCCGTTCTTCACCCCATGTGCTGTATAATCCATGCTGAGAAGAACAAGCACTAAGCTTGTATGTAGTCATGTGGCTTTGCCTCTGTTAAGTCTGCAAAGAATGATGGAGATATTTTGACTGGGGCCAGAGGGCAGAGGAAACTCTCAAAGAGCTGCTTATTGAAATGGGAAATCTTTCTCACGTGTGTTCTTTGGACTGGCCAAAGGGGATGCCAAGAAAAGAATTAGGAGGGTGGGTTGTCAACATTGTTTTTGCTTTTCTAGGTAGCAGATTGTGTTTGTTCCTGCGATTTTGATACCTGGGAGTTATTGACGTTGCTTGTATGTGGCCCATGATACATTCACTGCTGAGGCTAGAATACTTGCTCACAAATCACTTGAGTCTCTTGTTTCCCCTTCAGCATTCAACCTGTCTATGGAGCTCAGCATCCTCCACTGGATCCCCGGCTTACTAAAAAGTGAGTAGCTTCCCTGGTTCTCAGATCTTTAGCACTCATCACCACATGGTGCTGCTTTGCCCTGGGAAGAAGTCTGTTTTGTCTGTCCAGTTATTTCGCTCTCTCCTGTGGATTACCAGCCTCCAAGGCCTCGGTTTAGTTGGTGATCACAGGAGCTATTGCAAAAAGAGAAAAGTGAGATGGAGAGAAAGGGAGCAGCACCAAAAATGCTGAAAGTGAAATTTAACATACACTGCTGTATTGTTGGAATTTTGCTAAGTTTTACTTACAGTAGACCCACTGAAATTAACAGACTTAGTCAGGAGAAGACAAGGCTAAGGAGTAAACCCTATACAAATCTGGAGTGGAGTTTCCAAGACAGTTGGATGGCACCTTGTACACCTCCTTCCAGCCAAGCTGGTGTCAGACGTATTGCTCTGCGGAGTCTTGTTATCTGGGCAGCCCAGGCTCTCCATACGCACTGCCCAGGCTTGTACCCCAGGAAGGTCACTTAGGTGCTGAAAATGCAGCAGTTTGACGTCACCCTTGGAAGTGCACTCCATTGTCTCTCGAGACAGACAGATACCAACAAGAAGTCATGTTCACTATTTCAGTTGGTTTACTCTGAGCAAAACTTAATTAACTACCACCTAATGTGCTTGAGCTAAACACAGGCTTTGGGACCAAGAATTACAAACTACATGATGTCCTTTGTGAACTAAAACTCTAAGGAAGAACTTTTTAGAGTAGGAGAACTTGCAAGTATTGTCTCAATGAGGGATGTCTTGTTTAAATGCCTTGGATGCCATTTGGACCAATAAATTCCCCATCAGGCACCAATTTGAGCTTTACCTGTTTTTTGGCCCTTGAGTACTGGGCATGTAATGAGTTGGTGGCCCCATTATTAAGTCACTATGGGAAGACATTCCCATCACAATTGTTGCTGTTATATCCCAAGGGATTCATGAGTCATGGAGTCTAACCTCCTTGTCAGTCTCTAGAGGGGATTCTCCAAGGGACAAAAGGAGGGCAAAGACTTTAATGCTGCTATCCAAGCTATGCAGAGCCACCCTAGTTTATGTGTTGCTTGTCTTTATATATAAGCGATTGTGGCAGTTTACGATTATAAATCTAACATGTGCCTTCCCCTGTGCTGAACATCTCGCTCTCGTCATGCTATTGTGGAGTTTATAAATACATTGTTCCCTAAATCACAATGTTTGCTAATACTGATGCATTTTGATAGCGGTTTTCAACTGTTGACTATCCTGTTTTTAATTTAGAGTGTATAAGCCCGGCAGCCCTACCTCTAATCAAAAAGAAGCTGCAGCAACTTGACTTCTCTAACACAGCTTCCCATGCAAGAGGGCCGTGTTCAGGCTTAGCCCTAGCTATTCCACCCCCTGAAGGGATCCCTCTATACTGCTTTACAATTCCTTCGGAGGCTAAACGAAGGGCCTTTACCTGTGCCCGCCTCAACTGTTTTCCTACAGCAGTTCTGTCGGGTCGTTACTCCAGAGTTCCCAGT